CCCTCCATTTAGAACAGATTTCCTACATACTGATCTACGGAGTAAAATACTGCCTACGTGTTTGACGATTACTTGTACCCAGAGGCTCGAGCCCTCCTTTTCCTGGTCTTTCTAGCTATGGACATCACTTTTAGATTTTTACTTTTTTTGAATGATGCAAAACAAAGTGCACGCATCAAAGAAACCCTTAGTATTACAGTTCAATAGTACGAACCTTTTCCTGGGAGTCAGCCCCCCACCTGAGTCAGATTCTGAGCAGACTTGCTTAGTGGTGCAGTGCTAGTCTGGTACATGGATGTGTGAATCCACCCTGTGTTTGGCCTGTTTGGTCCAACTTACATAGTAGCAACCCTTGTAGGTGCTTTCTATAATTTAGGAGACCTGGCCCATATAAAACCTGAATGATTGTTTACCTGTTAAGAATCTGCTATGAGACTTACAGTATTGGCTTGTAGCTCCTGAGGAAGGACCTGAAGTCCGAAACACTAATTTATACCTAGGAAAAGTGTTGAAAAGTGTTGGACATCTGACTTCATTGTGGACATCTATTCCAGACTTGATTGTTATGAGAGATTGTTATTCTGGACTTTGTTCTTTCCCTTTGGGATATTATGAATTTGTGTATTATCCTATGATGGATTACATGCATTGAATTACTTATTGTATTGAAGTCTCTTTTCTATTGCTCTTGGGTGGGTTGGTCAGTGCACAGTTGTTACTTATTGGTTTTTCTTGGTCATTGTTTACTGTGGACTGTATTATTGTTGTTGTGGTTTTTTTGGCCTGGATACAACAGAAAGCAGATTATACTGTGCTCATATGAAAATCTTCCTCTCTACGAAGCCTCTTGGGAGGGAACCATTTGTGAAGCAGATAGTAGCCAAGCAGAGCCAGCCAACACATTTCCTAGCTGTTCCTCCCCAGACATTTTCTATTAGTCCCTAAAATGCGATAAATGCCTTAAGAGCTTTGGAACTAATTTTGGCTAATTAGAAAAAGGCAGATGACATTTGCTAACAGAAACCAGTCCAGACGCTCTCGCCAAAAGCTTGTTTCACTAGCTCAGAATGTAACAACGGGGCATTCTTTCTCCTATCCAAGTATAATTTGATTCTTGCCATTTGCAGAACAGTTTTTTTTGCATCAGGGAGCATGAGGGAAAGTGAATAATCGTACATTAATGGTGGGCGGTATATACCAAGGGGTGGGTTAGGTTCTCCATCAGCAGGTGTCTTCAGATCAAGATCAGAAAATGTTTTAACATGCATGACTTAAAAGCAGTTTAAATAGGCATGGTGTTGCTATATTCCAAGGGCGCATGGAATCTAAGAGGAACCTTAAAACACATCCTACAAAAGGAGCCAAAAGCCAATAAGAAAACATAATGGACTCTTGTACCTTACTTGAGCAAGCAGCTTTAATGGTCTCCAGTGCGGTAACGTCTGTTTTTATTCCACTGATATCAGATGGAAACAGACTAAAAAATGCAAGTATAAATATCCAAGTAGTCTAAGTATTAGCTCACAATACTGGGTATTCGTAAAACACATTTTAAGTTAGATACTGTAATAAACAAATACAGGCTGTCTTGTGTCAATCAGGAGTCTTTGTTTGAGGCCTCTTAGCTACATAGCGGGGGATTTACATGTTCTTTTTAGTCAGATTTTGAGCCACGTGGACATCCACAGAAATAATCACTTGATCTAAATATGGGTCAGTCAGGGACTTTTGAATTGTGGCCCTGCAGAACCAGCTCCCCTCTGAGACCTGGCCTTGTGGGCCAAGCACTGATGATACAATCATTTTGCTTAAACTTCTTTGTAAAGAGTAGCTTCTGTGGTTCCTGCCAGGGCTATTTTTGGGCAGGAACGCACAGGAACGGAGTTCCGGCTGGCTCCTGAGTTGGCCACGCCCAGCAGGAACTCATTAGCATAATAGGCCACACCCAATAGCAGAAACTCATTAGGATTGGCTACATTAGGGGTGTGTGGCCTAACATGCAAAGGAGTTCCTGTTACAAAATAAGCCCTGGGTTTTGACAACAAACAAGGTAAACAGCATAAGAAGGGAAAGGTGGGTGTGGCTGGATGACCACACTTCTGGTAACATGGGGGTGTGGTCTAATGTGCTAATAAGCGGTGCTGTCAGGGGTGTGGCCTAATATGCTAATGAGTTTTGCTGTTGGGTGGGGCCTATTATGCTAATGAGTTCCTGCTGGGCTTTTTCTACAAAAAGAGCCCTTCCTGCCATCTTGTTTTGAGGGCACCAGAGAATGGAGCTGCATGTACCACTTTGAAGAGAGACTGTCTGGTATGCAGCAAGTGGAAATGAGAGAAGAGGGGAGGGCTTGGGGTCTGCAAAATGGGAGGAGCTAAGGATGCTAAAGGTTGAAAACTGCAGCTCCACCAAGTACTGCTTTTACTTTCAGTAATCTTATAACAAAATCTTGATAATTTCCCCTTCTAGGTCCTAATATTTGTGTGTGTGTGTGTATGCGCGTGTGCGTGGTGTCAACTGATGCTAATAACATCATGCTGCATTTTACTTCTACTGGATGTATAATCTCTGAAGGAGATGTCCCAAAGAATGTGTTATCAAGGTCAGAATAAAGATCATGGATCTCCTTGCAATTTTTAAAAAGGAAAGTCCAGTCACAGATCTCCCAGTGTCTTGCCTATTTTGATCTCCATCTATTTTGTTCTTATGAAGGATTACGTCTGTTTCTCATGCCAAAGGGGCAGGCTGTGTTGCTATTTCTTGTTCCTTAGTGGCCAATGTGTTTTTGACCAAAATTGTACACCATGAAGTCTGTAATCATAAATTGCATTACTACATAGTGTTGTGCTTCAGGTCCCAGCTACTGTCCCAACTTGCATGATACGTGGGTGGTGGAAAGTGCTGTCAAGTCACAGCTGGCTTATGGAGACCTCATGGGGTTTTCCAAGGCAAGGGATGTTCAGAGGTGGTTGGCTGTTGCCTGCCTCCACATCACAACCCTGGACTTCCTTGGAGGTCCCCCATCCAAATACTAGCCAGGGCAGACCCTGCTTAGCTTCTAAGATCTGACAAGATCAGGCTAGCCTGGGCTACCCATATCAGGGCATGGTATAAAGGTAAAGGTAAAGGTTCCCAGTCGAATCCAACTCTAGGGTTGCGGTGCTCATCTCCGCTTCAAAGCCGAAGAGCCAGCGCTGTCCGAAGATGTTTCCGTGATCATGTGGCCGGCATGACTAAACACCAAGGCGCACGGAACGCTGTTACCTTCCCACCGAAGTGGTGCTTATTTATCTACTTGCAATTTCTTGCTTTCGAACTGCTAGGTTGGCAGGAGCTGGAACTAGAGAGCTCACTCCATCATGCGGCACCCGGGTCTCAAACTGCTGAACTACCGACCTTCCACAGCCTGCAGTTCAGCGTCTTAACCACTTGAGCCACCGCAGCTCCTTCCATTTTATCCTAGGGTTGCCAGGTCCCCTTGTCGCTCCAACAGGGGGATTTGGAGGGCATTCCGGGGGTGAGCGGAAATGCCCCCAAGAGCGACCACCCACCCACCCAGCCCCCTCCCTTTCCTCCTGCCCAATTTAAAGGGCTTCAGTTGATTGGTGGGGACCATGTGGCCCGCCAACCAGCTGGAGGACCCTTTAAGTCTAGTAGGAGGGAGGGAGAGGGGCAGTCACGGCCGCGTGCTCAGCTCGCAAAAATACCTTTTAAAGCTCAAAAGAAGTTGCAGAACTTTATTCTAGGGATTTTCTTTAATCCCTATGAGCTCTCTGGTATATAGACATGAGGATAGCCCTAGAGCATCACTGTAGAGTCCATGCTGGGTCATTTTTTTCCCTCCCACTTTTTGATTTCTCAGGGACAGGGGATTTGAGCCAAGCCAGGGGGTTGGCAAGCTTAGTACAAGCTGCTGCTTCACTCATTGCAGCCACCAAGGTCTACTTTAAACTGTTGGTGGAGGACGGGCTTCGGCACTTTAACCAAAAGAACACATACTGTTATGTCCGTTGACCGCCACTAGGCGCCAGCGATATGTGACCAGAGCTTGGCTCCAAAAGAACAAAAGAACAGCACCTATAGGAACTGTGGCAGGAAGTTCAAACCCGCCAATGGGACCTGTGGGTGGCAACCGGGGACTGTATATAGTTGGTCGTTCGACTGTTTGTTGTTGTGTTGTGTGCCAGTAAAGTATGAGGTGCTAATCACTCAGCGTCCGTCTTCACAACACATCGAACCCAGTACACAAAACATACCACCCTGGCTTTTAAATCAGTGGGGGACAAGCCATTGCAAAGTACGTTTACAGGAGCATACAGCAGGTGGAGTAAAGCCTGCAGCAAATCAAAAAACAGTGGCCAATCATGAGTGAGGTGTCTTGTAATCCTTGTGAAAATAGCAGCATTGCAAGTAGGGTTCCCAGCTCTGGATTGGGAAATATCTGGACATTTGGAGGGTGGCGCCTGAGGAGGGCGGGGTTTGGGCAAGGGAGGGATCTCAGCAGAGAGAGCCCACCCTTCAAAGCATCCATTTTTCTCTAGGGGAAGTAATCTTGGTAGTTTGGAGATCCACTGAAATAGCAGGAAGTCTCCAGGTACCACTTGGTGGGTGACGACCCCACAATGCAAGTATGTCACTTTATTCATCTGTGAATAGTTGGAGGGCATCCAGTGGTAAAAAAAATTAATAATGACACTGCAATAATGTGCAGAATTATTCTGGTCTAAACCCAGAGAGGTAAATGGGCTTAGGCTGGCATAACTGTGCATAAAACTACACTGTAAATAGCTGCCATTTTTTTGCCTTTTAACAGTATCCCCAAGAGTGCCACCCGACTGAGTCGCCAGCCTCCTGACTGACCCCTGACAGCACAAGAAGAAAACAGTTTGCTCTCATTCTTATGATAAGTATTTCCTCATCGCTGAATTCCATTCCTTTGCAGAATATGAAGCCAAGCTTTGATTTAGAATCCTGTCTCTCATCTTTTTAAGATACTGAGAAGTTACAGGAATCGTCTTGTTTGTGTCCCCCGAGGTGATGGGACGGTTTAGTATTCACATTCCTCTGCATTGCTTAAAGCCTCTCAAGAAAAAAGCAGAACCGCAAGGCAGAGTCGGTCTCCAGAAGTTTTGAGACAGACTGACTGACGACTGCTACTTCTGTCCTCATCTCCCAAAGGAGGATTGTTTCTTTCACTGCTAGTAGCTCTATAGCTGGGTAGATATCCTCTCAACATGAAGGTAAGACAATCGCTGAGCCAGTCTCTACCATGATGAAACCAAGGCTAATGAAAGATTAATTTGTTCAGGAGAGCTCTTGGGCAAAAAATGCACAGCAGGGTAGCAGAACTGGAAGAAAAAAGGGAGAAAGAAGTTTGGTGATGTCAGGGAGCTATAAATGGAGTGGGTATATATTTAAAATCAACAGTATCGGCAGTGACAACTGCTTGCTGTACGCTTCTGTCTGATTCACCCTCGGAAAATCAGAACAAATGTTATCCAAACATATGCCCATTTTAATTAAAATAAAACAGCAGAAAGAAATGAGCTTTTCTTGTCTCCTTTTTTTTTTTAAACAGGCACTTGAAATGTTCATTCTGGCAGAAATTGTGGGCTCCTTTCGTGCTTTTGCGAGGTAAGTGGTTCTTGTGCAAGGGGTAAGAGAGGCTGCGTGAACGTATGCAAGTGCTATCAAGTCACAACCAAATTATGGCAAATCCAGCAAGGGGCTTTCGAGGCAAGGGAGAAGCAGAGGTGCTTTGCCAGTGCCTTCCTCTGCAGAGTCTTCCTTGGTGGACTCCCTTCCAAGTGCTGGCCCTGCTTAGCTTCTGAGATCTGACAGGATCAGTCTCTACCACACTGCCTTCCCTCCTAGAAGTCGCGTTACTCTGCCTCTATTTTTATCTTATTCAGGGGCAGGGGTGGCTAGTGTTTTAAATTCATTTGAAATAGATTGAGAGTATATACTGTTACCAGTGTTCCCTCTAAGCTGAGTTAGTTTGAGCTGGCTCACAGTTTGTTAGCCTCCGGCTCACACATTTTTGTCTCAGGAAGGAAGGCCCCAGAGCAAACTGACTTGTGCAGCAGCCAAATCTCACAACTTTAATGCCAGCAGCTCACAAACCAGAATTTTTGCTCACAAGACTCCACAGCTTAGAGGGAACATTGACTGTTACCCACCATTTTTTTTCCTGGTAGGGTCGTGTGCTTTTAACAGCCTATGTTCCTGGCAGAGATTCAACAGGTAAAACTAAGACTGGGTACAGAGATGCAGCCCTCTGAGAGTCTCTCCCTCTCTCTTGTGCAGCTGTTAAAGGCAGAAGAAAAGCAACTGCGTATATAGTCCATGCTGGGCTTCCTTCATATTACAGTGGTTAAACTATTTGTTTGCCTTTTTTTTTTTTAAGTATTCAAAACGTTTTTAAAATTCCATCGCGGATATCTGTGCTAAGCTCGCCACCTGCCATGTTGTCCCCACCCTGCGGTGCTTTCAAGCCTGCTGTGGAAGGCACTCTCATGAGAGAGTAAAGCCCATTCGACTCAGTAGGACAAATTTCTGAGCAAACGTGCTTCTGACTTACGCTGCACAACTTCCAGGGCTGGGAAGAGCTGCTGTAGTTTTTTTTCCCTTGGCCTGAGACAGCAGGGATCAGGGCTCCCCATCTACCTTCTCCACAGAGGACCAAGGGTGGAAGTTGCCAACATCCAGGTGATAGCTGGAGATATCCCAGAATCACAACTGGTCTCCAGAAGACAGAGATCCATTCCCCTGGAGAAAGTGGCTGATTTGGAAGGCGGACTGTGCGGCATTATAACCCGCTGATGTCCCTTCCCTCCCCAAATCCCACCCTTCCCAGTCTCCACCCCCGAAATCTCTAGTGATTTCTCAACCCAGACTTGGTAACCCTACCAAGGGTACCTGAAGCAATCTCTACCCTCATCCCTAAGTCCCCGGGGACATTCTAGACAGGAACACGCAGGGCTATTTTTGGGCAGGAACGCACAGGAACGGAGTTCCGGCTGGCTCCTGAGTTGGCCACGCCCAGCAGGAACTCATTAGCATAATAGGCCACACCCAACAGCAGAAACTCAGTAGGATTGGCTACATTAGGGGTGTGTGGCCTAACATGCAAAGGAGTTCCTGCTACAAAAAAAGGCCCTGGGTTTTGACAACAAGGTAAACAGAATAAGAAGCAAAAGGTGGGTGTGGCTGGATGACCACACTTTTGGTAACATGGGGGTGCAGCCTAATGGGCTAATGAGCTGTGCTGTCAGGGGTGTGGCCTAATATGCTAATGAGTTCCTGCTGTTGGGTGTGGCCTATTATGCTAATGAGTTCCTGCTGGGTTTTTTCTTCAAAAAGAGCCCTGGGAATACGCAAAAGGTCTCAAGATCATGGCCTGAAAACACCTCTCTCTCCCTCTCCTTCCCCCTGTGCCATTTTAACATCCATTTCAGATGAAATCCAGTCAGACACATGGTGTGGGGGGGAATACTTTTGCAAAGTTTTTTTCTACCAGTATTTTCCAACCTATTCTTCCAAATAAATGCAGTTCTTTAGTGAACAGCATTTATTTTTCCTCAGTAGAGCATCCAGCCGGATGAAGGGTTCTTCTGGAGAACTTGAAAGCTTACACATTGTTTAGAGTCATTTCGTTGGGCAAAACTGAAATATTTTACACGGCTTTTTGATTTTTGGATGTAGCTGAGCTGCTACTCAAGATCAGCTTCCAGGGCTAGTTGGCAGGGAAAG